AGGTGATACCTCATTGTAGTTTTGATTTGTGGTAGTTCTATTTTTAGTTTTTGGAGGAACATTCATACTGTTTTCCATAGCGGCAGTACCAGTTTATAACCTGTCCAACAGTGCACAAGGGCTCCCTTTCCCCGCATCCTTGCCAGTATTTGTTATCACTTGTCTTTTTGATGACAGTCATTCTCACAGGCACAAAGGGATAATGCATCGTGGTTTTGATTTGCATTTCTCTTGTGATTAGTGATGCCGAGCACCTGTTCATGTACTTTTTGGCCATTTGAATACTGTCATTTGAAAAAATATTCAGTTCTTTTGTCCATTTTTCAAATTAAATTATTTGTGGGGTTTTTGTTTGCTATTGAATTGTATGAGTCCTTTATATATTTTAGATATTAACCCCTTATCTGATACATGGTTTGCAAATATTCCTTCCCATTCTGTAGGTTGTCTTTTCATTTTCTTGCTAGTTTGTTTTGCTCTGCAGAAGCTTTTAAATTTTACATAGTCCCAGTTATTTATTTTGTGTATAGTTATTGAAGTATAGTCAGTTTACAGTGTGTCAATTTCTGGTGTACAGCACAATGCTTCAGTCATACACGAACATACATAGATTTGCTTTCATATCCTTTTTCACCATAAGTTACTACAAGATATTGAATAGAGTTCCCTGTGCTGTATGGTATAAACTTGTTGTTTACCTGTTTTATATATATATATTAGTCAGTATCTGCAAATCTCAAACTCCCAATTTATCCCTTCCCACCCCCGCCCTGCCAATAACCCTAAGTTTATTTTCTATATCTGTGAATCTGTTTCTGTTTTGTAAATAAGTCCATTTGTCTTGTTGCTTCTGCTTTAGGTGTCATATGCAGAAAATCACTGCCAGGGCCCATGTCCAGAGCTTTTTTTCCTGTTTTCTTCTAGGAGTTTTATGCTTTCCAGTCTTCGATCCATTAATTTTTGTGAGTGGTGCAAATTAGGAGTTTGGTTTCATTCTTTTGTATGTGAATATCCAATTTTCCCAGCACCCTTTATTGAAGAGACTGCCTTTTGAATATATTGATTTTACCTGCATGGGTTTATTTCTGAGCTCTCTGTTCTGTCCCATGGGCCTGTGTGTCTGTCCTTATGCCAGTACCACACTGCTGTGATGACCGTCGCTTACGTTATAGCTGGAAACTCGGAACTGTTCTTTCTTAGGATTGCTTTGACTATTTGGGGTCTTCTGTACTGCCACATAATTTTAGGATTGTGTTTCCTGCTTCAGTAAAAGAAAAACAATGCCACTGATTGCATTGAATCTATAGACGGCTTTGGGTAGTTTGGACATTTTAACAGTATTAACTCCTCTAATCCATGAACATGGGATTCTTTTCATCAGTGTCTGCAGTTTTCAGTATGGCGATCTTTCACCCCCTTGGTTAAATCGTTTCATCTCCGGACAAAGAAACTTTTTACTCCTCTTTTTTCAATTTGGATGACTTATTTTTTTCTTGTCTTTGGGTAATCTTCTACTTCTATTGTGTTGTAGAGAGTGAATATGAGCTATGATACTTTTTTGAGGTATATTTTAGTTTTAGTTGTCTTTTGTGGCATAATCCATGACATATATTAATGTGTCTTTGAAAGGACTATATTCTATGCCTGTGTACACAGGACTACATGTATAAGAATACTAATTATGTTCTTTTTTGTCTACTTGAACTGTAAGTTTCAATAAGAGGTTACAGTGAAGTCTCTGGGTTGTAAATATGACAATTCTTCCTTGCAATTCTGTTGTCATTAATTAGAATACCTATAACTAACTTTAATACAAAACATTATATGGTAAAAAATGTTTTAGCAAGATGATATTCCCCCTTTTGAGAATTCAAAACAATTTGCTTTTGTCAGATTTTAATAGTCTGTCTCATAATAATTGACTTTTAGCCCATTCACATTTATTGTGATTACAGGTATGTTTTTATTTCTACCACTATATTTTGTATTTACTGTTTCTTCCTTTCCTGCTCTTTGTTGAAATGGTCAAGTTTTCTTTATTCCATGGTTTTCTTCTGTAAGTTTAAAAGCTGTATATTCTATTTATTTCCAGTATTTTTGTTGTTACCTTTAAGTATGCAGAGAAGCCTATTTTTTTTCCCTAAGAGCTAAAGTTAACCAGAAACTCAACACAGTTTTCTCACTGCCCCCTACAGTATGAAATTTTAATTCTAGCTTATTAGCAAAACACTTGTTTATTTGTATAGTTATGTTTATTTAGATTTAGCAGTATGCCTTTTTCCTTTCCACAGTTGCATCTCAATAATAATTCTGGGATCATTTGTTTTCTGAGTATCACAGGCTTCAGTGATGCGTTAGTAAGTCTGGGCCATGCGTCTTTAGTTTGAGAATGTCTCTGTCATGTGATCATGGAAATAAATACCTAGGTGCAAAGTGATTTCCCCTCAGCTTTGAAGACAGTATTCTCTGTGCTTACACAAGTGTTACCAGTCTGATCCTCACTCAGCTGTAGGTAGTAGCATTTATGAGTTTTTAGTTTTAATTTTTCTTTGAGTGTGTGTATGTGTTTGTGAGCTCATGTACTGCGGGAGAACTACTGTCTACCTCACCCATGTGAAGATGGAGGTTTCTGCTTCCACTCCTCTGGTTTTCTAGTCTCTAAATTTATTTGTGTGTTTTTTCAGGATGACAGGGTTTTTAAATTTACCTTTTATTTTATGAATTTTATGAAATGGGGAGGCAGTAACCACAGATCCAGCTGATTCTACCAACTACTCACTGTTCACCAGGCTATTCCAAGATGACAAGGCTCTCAGAGATCAAGGATCAGAAGTTGTCCCAAGAAAACCACTCCTAAGGGACAGGTAAGTCAAGTCTGCTAATGCCACAATTAGAAGTGGTGCCCACACTCTAACTTAGAAACTCAGCCAGTGCACAGCACCTCCAGTCTGCAGAAATAGGAGGAAGGAAAAAAAAAATGCCTTCAGTAACCAAAAGGCAGATTTGTTAACAGATTGCCAGTCAAGCTCTGCAAAGATGGACTAGTAAAAAGCTGGGGAAATGCTGGTCCTCCTCCTCGCCCTGCAGCTGTAAAACAATAGTACTTAATAGACACAAAAAAATGCATGCTGGGTTGAGCCTCCAGGTTGGTAAGAAGCAGGTGCTACTCTACCTATAATGTAATAGAATTACCATTTTTTTCTAAGGCAGTAATTATAACTGATTCTAATTTGTTATTTCTTATTTCATTTTCTGAGTCCGAATGCCCCTGAATACACATTTATATTAGATTTTCTCATGTAAAAAATAACTTGTAAGCAGATAGGATAAATGGTATTTTTATGAGTCAGCTAGTGTAATCTCCCTATGTGGGGAGATGTGATAAAGTGAGCTTGAAACTAAGCGGGACGCCTAGGCAGACAAAGGTAGGCCTTTCATTGATGTGCGCTGGGGGAAGAAATCATCTTCTAGTCTCAGACCGCATCCCTGACAGTACCTCATTATTAATGAAGCAGTAAGAAGATACCACATGTAATGAAAATACATTTATAAAAATAGCACTCTGCTAGTTCTCTTAGGCACGTCACTCAGACCAAAATGACCTCCCACATGGAGCAATCAGAGAGGTAGGACTGAGTCCTTGCACTGGAAAGCCCTATGGAAGGGAGAACCAGAAGGATGTTTGTTTTTAAAAAACACTGGAGAAGAACCGACACCCAGACAGGTCAAAATCACAACTCTGGAGCTCCTTCTGAGTTGAAAAGGGTGTTATCAGAAGTGGAAAGTGTGAGGCAAGCCAGGGAAATAAGTAATTTTCAAAAGTAGAGGAAAGGACGGGGATCCACCGTAAGGTGACCCAAAACTCAAAGTGAACAGCCAGAGGTCACAGACCATCTGTATTTGACAATCTGCAAAAACTTGCCCATTTCCTTCAGGTAAATAAATAGATAAACACCTGAAATGGCAGCTGTTTAGGGGGTGCACCTGCTTCTGAATGTGGAACAAGAATAACTGAATTATTGTGTTGCAGCTGCCAGCTGTCTTTTTAGAGTAACAGATAAGGTTCCTCTGCTGTGTCGGCAATGGCATGGTCTGAGTGCCACAACCACAGGTGAGTCCTGCAGGAAGGAGGGTGTGGGGCTAAAGGGACCTTTACCTCGGCTACAGGGCAGCATGTCAGGGAAAAACATACTCACACAACCCACTTGCTTCTGCCTCAGCATCTGGACAAAGAGTCCAGGGATCATGCACATGAAACAAATGTCTTTAAGTATGCTCAAGTCCTTGGACCCTGTCTGATAAATTTAGAAGGAAATCAGCTTATCTTCCTCCTTGAATGCACAACTTGATCTGGGGAATGTGGGAAACTCTTTTATTTAATGGGCGTACTTGAAAAAAAGAAAAAGTCAAGGGCCATTGGAGCCCAAGGCTAGGGAGGAATGAGCAGTAGAGATGGGGCTCAGTGTCCACCCAGGCAACTGGCCCACGGGTGACCTTTGAATGCTGTCCGGCTGATGGAGCCTGCAGTACTTCTCAGCTTGTTACCTGGGCCTCGGGTTCTGTCCAGCTGCCTAGGGCACATCACCAGCTTCCTGGAAGAGCCCTATCTGGGGTAAGACGGGGAATTTCTTTCACGAAACACTAGTCCCTAATTGAATAACCATTGCTGTGCTCAATATTACAAGAGACATGGATGGTTTAATTAGTTGTTTAAATGAGTGTCAAGAAATGGCACTTACCCAACAAGCTCTTCCCTTTGCTCAACTTCTGAATCCTGTTCATTTCATTCTGGCAAGGGAGACCTAAAAGTAATTTATGTAAGTCAGTTTCCAGATGGGAAGGGATATAATCTCTAATGATTGGCTTCACTCTTGATGTGAAATGTACACAATGACACACCTGGGAGTGGAATTACTCCATGTGCTATTATTACTGTGCGGCAAAACAGATTTAGGACATTGGTGTTACTAAGTTTAAGAAATCTTAAATACATAGGTACACAAGTACCTGGTGCTATACGTATTAAAATAGTATTTGTGGGCTACTTGCACTGTACAGGAATCTTTCTCCCCACCAGCAAGTCAAGCAAATACCAAGTGTCTCTAGGTGATTTTTACCTAAAGCAGAAAGTCTGTTATCAGCTAAGATTTCTATGAGCTGAGAACTAGGACCAAAGCTTTAAACTAGAGGGCACATATACTGAATCCAAAGACTTGGAAAAATATTTAGTCACCCTCCAGTCTTGCAGTTTAGAAAGAGGATTAGAATGCCCACTTTAGCCCTCACGCCCCAAGAAAGTAAAACAGAGGGCTTCAAGGGACGACTCTGAAGGGACAGAAGAGACCTAGAGAGACAGTGAGGACAGAAGAGTGAGACCTGGACGCCGGGCTCTGCCGCTTCCTGGCTGAGTGGCTGCAGCTGGTCTCTGTAGCTCTCATCCTCCAAGCCCTCAGGTATCAAGCACATGTTGCTATGGACGAGCTCCAAACGGGCAGTTCTCAAGCGAAAGACTGATACAGTAGGAGCCGCGTGGCTAAGCAGCGCATAGGCAAGTGTGTGCTACCCTGGTTCCTTCCACTCCAGGCAAGAAGAAAGGTGACCTCGAGTCTGGAGTTTTACCGTGACTCACCTTTGCCGAGGCTGTGGCTCTAGGAGGCCCTGTTGGCTCACGGTCCTCCAGCGCAGACCATGAATTCAGATTCTGCAGACACTTATACCATCTCTGTACCTGCAGGTGTGGAACCTGGAGGAAGCACCTGAGCACCCATTTACATCTGTTACCCTGGGGCTTTCACAGTGCCGCCTGGTCTCGCTGCTTGTTCCTTGAGAGAATCCGGCTACTGAGTATATTTTGTTGCCTTCGGGATTTAAAATGATTCAAGGTAGCACTTGCTATGACAAATAATGAGCAGTGATTGAATTCTTAGACTGCACTAGACCATGTATTAGAACTGTCTCACGTGTTTACAACAACCAGTTACAAATGGAAATGCACATCTCTGTCACTGCGCAGAAGGAGCGTCCCAGTCATTCCTGTGAGCAAGGTGTCTGTTTAGTATGAAGTTTCTAATTGTCAGGCTCTTTCTCAAGTTGTCCTATAGTCATTTTTAAAACGCTACTTATTGAAAGATAAGGGGAAATGAATCAAGACTGAGACCTACTAAAAATGCTGCAAGAAAAAACTGCAGATGAAAAATTCACAGCAGAAACCGTTTGCTGCTAAGCAGAGGACAATATTTACCAAAGATTTTTCCAAGAAAGCAAGGATTCTAATGAAAAAAAGACTGTATAAGGCAGAGACACAAACACTCAGGGATATAAATGACATAAAGAGGAAAATTAAGCAATAAAGAAGGAAAGATATACCTGAAGCAGCAAAACTGAGCTGAGACAGCCATATTACTGGTGCTCTTAAGATTAAAGTTTTAATTCTAGAGCTCAAAGGAACACACTGTGTCTCAGGAAAAAGTGACAGCAACCAGGATGAGCAAAACTAAGATACGTCCTAGGAAATTTATGTTCTTGAAAGGTAAAGAGTCCTTTTGGCTTCCAGGCAAAAAGGTTACATCACCACTAAAGGGAAGAATTAGATGAATCCAGAGAGAGTTGACAGCTCTACACTATTGAGCCCTTTTATCCCAGCGCAGGGTCTGCCTGTAAACCAGTGGAGCTACAAGTTTTGTTCTCAGATACACTGCCCTGGTGTTGACTGTTATACCAGCATAAACGAAATCCATTTTCTTCCCATTATATGTCCTCACTGGTGGTTGTTTCAATACTAAATTTGTTCCTGGCCACCTTACTAAATTCTCATTTTATTTATGATAGTTACTCTGGTTGGTTTCCTTGAATTTTTCAGGTGTGCAGTCCATATTATCTGCAAATGGTGATAATTTTTTCTCTTCAATTTTTATACCTCGTATCTTTCCCTTTTCTAATCACATCAGCTGTTCCTTCCAAATCAATGTTAAATAACAGCCGTGTTTTTCACTTCAATAGAAAAGCTGATAGTGGCTCAGCATTAAGCCTAGTGAGCTTGGGGCCTGAGATCATACAGAATTATATGGTTTTATCCTCAGGGTTCAGGTTGAGGCTCATTCTTCCCCTGGAGGTGTAATGCCCGATTGTGCCTTGACCAGGAGACAGCGCCGTCCCCCTGGCCACCTGGGATGGTTCTGGGTAGCTTGCCTTCTCAGCCGCTGCCTGCCCCTCTGCCCCTCTCTCACGGGAGGACCAAACCCAGGCCCTCCTGCATGCTAGCCATGCACTCTACCACCGAGCTACAGCCTGTCTACCTGAGCTTCCTCAGAATCACCTTTACTCCCCAATTCAGGGAGTATGCTGGGTTCCAGGTTCCTCAAAAAAATTCAAATTTCATTTTAAGATGAATGCACTCAGAGTCCTGCATACCTTTCTAGGTTGCTGCCTATGCTTATGAAATTTCCCAAAACATCTGAATTAACTTAGGAATCTAATTTCTCCAACAGACGTCCCTGCACTTGATAGACACTGATTGACTCTTAGGATCAGTGGTTGCTACTCATTCATCCTTTTGCTTAATCACAATGATCAAAGGTGGAAGAAAGATTGGTGAATGCATAAATCTGGCCACTTTTGCCCTTCCATAATGCCAGACAGAGTGGAACCACCATTTGTTAGCTTGTGAAGTTGTGATTCAGCCCTTGGACACGGAAGTATGACTTACGTACGTTCATTCTTTCTTCCTTCCTTCCTTTCTATGTATCTACCTACCTGTCTACCTAATGGAGGAGGAAGAGGTGGCCAGTGTCTCTGTCAGTGTGTCTGTCTTTCTAATGGACTACGAAGAGGGGGCCTCCTGAATGGCCAGCCCAGCCCCTGGGCCTTACCTCCAGGCTTCTGGAAGCAGTAGCACCACTCATTGTTAGAGAGCTTGCCGTCCTTGAAGGAGTCACAGGAGTTGAAGAGCGGCTTGATACAGGGCTCGTACTTATCCAGGTACATGGCGTTGATCTCTGCGTGGTCAAGCAGGAGGTCATAGTTCATGTCCAACTTGTTGAACATCCAGCCCAGGGAGTCCTTGCAGATGGGCAGGATGCTGGTGTCGAATCCTGCCGAGGGAAGGACACATCTCAGCTGCCACCGAGCCTGCTCCCTGACTCTGCCCCCGAAGGAGGCCCAGCCCCTCCCCCGTCTCCTCCCCTGATGCTTCTCCCCTCCGCTCGTGGTCTGAGCAGCACTCTATCAGCATAGCTGGTAGCTGTTGTGAGTTTTAAAATGAAAGAATTTAAAATGCACTAAATCAGCATCTGAGGAAATTATGTTCTAAAGGGAAAAAATCCCTAATATGCATTTATCTGTAATGTAAATGTGGGTTTATTTGCCAGACGCTTACAACAGGGTGTGCCTGACAGGAAGAGTCCCAGCGTGGTGAGTACAGAGGACTGTGACGGCACCACAAACTATGCTTTTATATTTTGGGAAAAAAGTTATTTGAAAAACCAAAACAAAGGAAACTACCATATAAAGGATGGCAGTGAAATGAAGGTAGATGGTGCCCCCCGGAGCACGGAGTCTATCCCAGAGGACGGTAACAGCCAAGCAGTCTGAACATTAATGGGAAGACAAGCCAGGTACCTGCCTCAGTTCCCCATGCTGCTGTTTTGCAATCCCCTCGAGAGACACATGGCACGGAATCCAAACTGACTCCAACAATAATTTCTTTCTTATTTCCCTGGGGGAGGAGAGGCCGTTTTCTTAAAGAATTATTTGTTTCCATCATGGAAACTGTATGCACTCGAACAATAACACTTGGCCTAATACTCGGGATACTGAGTCTGCTGTAGACAAACCCCAGAGAAGACAGGCCTCCAATCTGAAACTCATCTTTCTTTCAGAATCAGAAGCACCACACAATTTCAAATTATTACATAACCTGGATTTCTAGGATTAGTTTTATTTTCCCAGGAAAATGGTACAAGTTCACTTCTGTGTTACTTAAGACACTCTTCTAAGCATTTCCTACTTAATGATCTCACTGAATCCTTCTAACAGCCCTATGAAATGACGCTTTATCCTTTCTACTTTACAGAATAAAAAAAAAAAGCTCAAGGTTCACGTCACTTGGTCAAGGCCGTACAATTGTGGGGCAGGGATATGAGCTCAGGTGGCCCACCCCTGAGTCTGCATTCTCATTCCCTCCTCTCCCAGGGCTGCCTCGCATGATACAAGACCCTCCTACCCGAAGGACATCCAGTTGACTTGGGTGCCAAGTGCAGGGATGAGCAGTGGCAGGGGTGAGGCAGGCTGCTGTCACTGAAGATCCTCAGGGGTCGACTGCCCCTCCTGGGGTTCTTGCCTTCATCCTGTCCTCAGGTTTCTACGTGCCTCACCAGGAAGCCCTGCTTAGTCAGTAGGACGTCTGACATGGCACAGTGTACCTGGCCTTTAAAGCAGCATCTTTACAAAAGGGTCTTCAATGTCCAGAAGCCAGGAACCTAGGTCCTGCACCTCCTCTTCTGAGCTCCCATAGAACCCTGTGCTTCCTCTCATTGTCCACGCCTGTGAGTTACACCCTGAGCTCCTTGCTCCCTCCAGTAGCCTCAGCCAGTGCAGGCACACAGAAGGTGCTCCAGAGGAGAACTGGTTGAGAGAAGTGTTCTAGCTACTGAAAACTCTACCCCTTCAAATGTAAAAATCTTTCCAATTTACCATTTATTCCTCTGGATATCTTAAAACACATCTTAGAAAAGAGCCCCCTTTTCAGGAGAGACCATGGAATGCCATGTGGCCTCTTTGAAGGTCCTGACCGAACAACCTCTACACTGATGACGTCCACAGGGGAGACTGAATAAACGAAGATGATTTACTCTGACACTAAATGGCTCCACACTTCTGTACAGAATGTTTTCTGTAATATGCATCAATGTTATAGGATATTACCATTTTCATATATATGAGAAAGGGAAAATTTAATACTGCTGACTGACCACCAAAAAGAAGTGCCAAGCTGATTGGGCAGTAGTCTAAGCTCCAGCTCAGTGGCCACACCCACTTGGAAGGTTCTAGAAAAGAGGCACATGCATCTGACATCCAGGGGCAGAGGAAAACAGAGCAGCCCTTCTAGTAGGACCCAAGCACACGTGGGCCTTCTAGGGTTCGGTGTTTCCCCTTCAGAACTCCCACACTGACAGAAACATCTCTGCCTTCTGTGCCTTGTGGGCTAATCAGGCATCATTCCTTTATATCCCTTCACTCCAGCTGCTTCAGGACATCAAACCCGAAAACCTCTTCGGGGGACTCCATTTGCTTGTGCCCAAAGGCAGATCTTTTGCAGGCTCCCTAACAATCAGAAGGAGTCTCCTGGGACTGGAGGCTGCAGGAAGCAGCTCTCCCTTATCAATCTGCCCTTCACTGAAAGGTTGCTCAGAAAGCCCAGGGGCTCAGCAGCTCCTGGAGGAACCCAGGGAAAAGCTGTGAATTAACTGTCCACACACCCCCAAGGAGACCTTCGGAAAGAATGGAAAGCAGCCATTTTATGTTCCCCTTCCCACAGATAAAACCACCAGGACCTACTTTTTGGACACTTAACATTTGCTCCCCCAGAATCTTTATCTTTCCACTAAGGTTCAAGATCCAAACTGGTAAAAGAAGTGTCCCCTAGTTGAATATTCTCTACTAATATCTCTAAATGGCCATGAACAGCAAAGAATAACCAAAAAATTAGGAAGTTCATTCTAATTTAGTCTGAAGACCAGATGCTGGTTAACCCCTGGGTCCCTGGGTCCCTCAAGTTGCCAGTGGCACTTCTTACCTATTTAATTCAGTCCAGGAGCATCACGTTCAGAAATCCTGTCAGGATGCATGCGGGATCAAAGATGGGATGCAATACTCTATGCTTTAAACAACACGTGTTTTGATATCACTTTGTCACAGTATAAGAAGTGCTCCGTAGAAAAGGCCGTGGCAAGGCTATGTGTATCTGAACAATTGCACTGCTGAGTACGTCACTCTGTGCCCATCAGCCACGGGGTGGAGGGGCTCACCGCTCGTGACCTTTGGGTTAAAGGCAGTGAGAGACTCCATCAAAGTGCAAACATCCAGACCCACTTTGAGCTGCTCCAGCGTATGGAGAGGCTCTGAGCATTGTCTCTACCAAGTCAGTAATGGACAAAATGCATTCTGACTAATGTTCTGAGAGATAAATTATCAAATATGTTTGCTACAGTGTTGCTTATAATGGCTGAAAGTTAGGGACAACCTTCAAGCTCCAAAATAAAGGTCTAATGATGCAAACTACATTCTATCTATAAACTGAGATTTTTTGTTGCTGTTACAAAGGAGACTACTAGTTGCTCAGCAACAGAGACAGAACCCCAGCATGCTGTGAAGGCAAGGCCATGGAACAGCCCGCACAGTCTGTGCACACAGGGACCCTGGTGTTTCCTGCCCACCAGCCCCCCAGATGCTCCTGTGAAGTCACCAATGGCCAGTAACTGAGGACACGCGGTGTTTACAGTGAAATCAACTAGAAGAGCGAAGCCATCTTACTGCCTTGCGCTGCGCCAGAGCCGGTGGGCTTGATGGCCCTGTCAGCATCCTCGTGAAGGGCTCCAAACCAGTCTTTCAGCCGGGAAGCGAGGTTCCTCAGGTCCTTGTCCGTGCAGGCTGGAAAAAAGTAGAGGGGACAAATAGTGAGCCCTCAGGTTTTCTCCTCCTGTGAGCTGTCTGCCCTCAGCATTTGATGCCCCCAGCAAAGCCGTGCTCCAAACAGACTTCCCTCTGTAACCAGGACAGGGCTCCTTCCTCCACTGTGACAGCACCCCCAAGATGCTGCTACTCCAGATAAAGAACATGACAGCGAGAGCCGAGACCCCAGGAGGCAGCACTGTGCATGGCTGGGCCTGGCCTGCCTCGGGACCGTGAGAGCCAGCTGTGGTGGCCTCCCACTTGTGCTCCGGCCTCCATAGACCATCATGGGTCCCTTTCGCTAACCTGATCAAACTTGCTACCACGGTCTGCCACAAAAGATCACATTTTCCACTGAACTCACGCCAAGAGATTAACACTCAGAAATAGCTAATGCTCTTAGGGAAAGGCTGCCCGGGACACCAAAAGATCCCAGTAACAGTGACTCTCAATTTTGCTTTAGCCCAAGTTCGGATTTGTGGATGTGACATATATTTTGTTGGCCTTTGGACACACTGACATGACATTCCCTTGTGGGCAGATGGATGCCTTCACCCTGGAAGAGTCTTTTCTGTTGGCAGCCCGTCTGTAACTCTCCAGCTCATCTTTCAGGGTATGACAGAGTACTCGAGGCCACCGAATACTCCCTCTGAGAACAAGAAAACCCAGATGCGTGGCTGAGGAAGTGGCCTGTCCTTCAGTGCTTAGCGATGGGCTGAGGAAGGCGAGCACAAGTCCTCTGAAGGTGGGGACCAGCATCACACACTGAGCCATGTGTGCACACGGGAGGAGGAGGAGCAGGTGCTGATGGCTTGGCTGGGTACCAGGACTGGGCCCCTGGAGCCGGCCCCCACTAACACACTGGCCCCAACTCTGAGTCTTGGGGGAACAAAAGGCCCTCTTTTTTGACCTTTCAAATGGCACACAGCTCTACACAGGAGAGCATGTGGTCTGTCTGCCTGAGGGGAATAGGACGTAGGCTCTACAGTCCATCTCACATTTGAAAATGGAGAATTAACAGCAGCTCTTTCTTTTCGATTGCCATGCACACCATCTAGTCCACATATTCTTTGAGCAGAGAAAATTGCCAAGTCAACTTGCAAAGGAAATGAATCCTCATCTCACACTGTAGGATAAATTAGTCAGTCTTGTCTAACTAGCCCCTGACAGAAGTGCAGGCTATCTGTATCTTTAGAAGGCGGCTGCATTTCCCACAGGCTTCCCAAGGTCCCCAGGCTTCGCATGGCTCCTCCCCCCATTTGTACACGTGGCTCAGTATGCGATGCTCCCCCCCACCCCCCGCCACCGAGAACACTTGCAATCTACTTCCTCAGCCCATCTCTAAAACAGGGACTGGAGTCTGGAAGGACCAAATCTGTCCCTCAGGGAAAAGTCCTCAAGCAGGATGCCACCGGCCTGGGTAGAGAGAGATCAGAGAGCTGAAATGGAGATGGGAGGCACTCAGTTACTGAGCCCTGTTCACTCACAGTGTCCTCAACCGAGTGGCGCTCATGAGGAGACCGTCAGGCCCAGTCTGCCTGCAGCCAGATACGTCCCAGAGGAAAGAATGATCCCCAACAGCAGCCCAGGGGGCCGTCTGCTCTGCCTTGGTGTCCTGGCCGTGACAGGCTGGCAGTGGGCCACCAGTGCTGGCCGCCTCAGGTGCCTGTCATTGCCCCCGCTAAAGCTATGAATGAGGACTCATGTCTTCAGGAAGAGGGGAACGGAGGGGTACCTCCCACACACACTCAGCTCCTTTCTGGGGAAAAGTAACCCGTGTGTGGAGAAAAGCATAAAGCCACATCCACCTTCCATCTAACCAATTCCTGTCATTTCCAGAGCAGGGTTTCTGATGGTCTCTTTATTCCTCCTGGGACAAAGCCAGGGTCGTCGGGCCACAAGCATCAGCTCATCAGCAGGAATTACGGTGCTGTCTTGGGAGAGGATCTGGCGCGATCACGAAGGCGAGGACCCCACCCCCTTGCACTGCCTTCCCTTCCCAAGTGGGTGGGCGCAGTCACTCCTGTCTGTCCTCCCACTCCCCTTCTCTCCCCTCCTGCCCCCACCCTGGCTTCAGCTCACTTTAATTGCTCTCATCCTCCTGATCGTCTCTGCCCAGCATCCTATTCCTCAGTGTTTCCGTGGTTGCCCTTTTGTTTCTACAGGTCACTCCCCATCTTTCTTCCATGACCTCAGTCTACTCCAGCATGGCTACTGTGTTGGTGGCATCTCTGAGATCCACTGACCCCCATCTCCCTCCTGTAAGCAGAGAATGGCAGTGCCAGGCACTCATAACCTCAGGGCAAACACCTGGGATTGCTTGTCTTGAACTCGTACAAAACGTTCCCTGCTTTGTGCTGTCACCACTGCTTTTATTCCAGCCCATGCTGCCACCATGACCTCCCACCAGGACCACGGTAATCGCTCTCCCAGTCTTGTACCCCATGTTCCCTTCTCCATCAAGCAGCCAAAGTGATCGTGCTAAAGTGGACATCTGATCAAGACCTTTTCCCGCTTAGCTACTTCACAGGCTCCCAATCCCTCTGCAGCCAGGCCACCCACACTAGTGTGATCACGGTGGCCTCCATCTCTCTTCTCCCCTCCTCCTTGGCCTCCAGACTCTGCCCTTACCGTCCCTTCCACACAGGTTCCCCCTGGAACCCGCCTCTTCTGTCTGTCTTGCTAATGTCTATTTCTCCATCAGATCTCTTGCTTTAAAGGTATTTCCTCTTCGACTACTACAGCCCCCAGACTAGGCGAGCTTTCCCTTTCATATGCTTCCAGTGTCTTGCTCCTCCATGGCACTCACCACCCCTGGAACGCCTGGCTCAGTGTCCCTCTGCCCTTCTACATTACAGCAACAGGAAACATGCCCTGAGTCTGGCTCAGACTTCGGGGCCCAGCACCTTATGCAGTCGGCTCCTGCATACTCTCCGTGCGTAACTCAGTAAAACTGCCCTCTTGTTGCCTTTTGTCAACTTCAGCCCGTCCATCTGCAAAATGGCATCATAAAGCTGAGCCCATAGCATCGCGGCGTGGAATGAAATGAGAGATTATCAGTAAAACAGCTCACAGCTACTGGCGTACAGCAGGGACTCAATAAATTTATGTTCCCCCTTCCCATATCCCAGTTGTCTGCATAATATGTTAGAATTTTATTGTTATGCTTTTTTTTAAAGCCTGAGGAGATGCTGTGATATAAAGAATGACAGCTCTCCTTCACTTATTTTGTAGGTAGGTCAGTACAAGTCCAAGTGATTAAGCTTATAATATATGTCTGCCTCCTTCCAGTGGAAAGCTCCGTGGCAGGAGGGGTTGGTCTGACCTGCCCACACCTACACTGTCAGCCTTAGGGTAAGGGTATGTTCAGAATGTACGTACTGAAGGAAAACATGAACGCACTGGTGATAAACTCCCCAAGTCAGATAGCTATCAAGTGGCAGAGACAGGACTTGGATTCTGGCTGCTATCTGGCCGGGCTGCCCCTGGGTGCTAGACCAAATTTTGGGATTGATTTGGCATGTGGGTAGCCAGGACTGCTTGAGGCAATTAATACTCTTGGTCCATGCTCTGGGTTGAACAAAATGGAAACATCAGGCCCTCACAGGTACAGGAAGCTCTGACAGTGACGCAGGGGAGGCGGCTAGAGGGGCATCAGAGGAGGGAGGGGTGCGTCAGGCTCCCGCCTTGATCAGCTGTGGTTTGAGAACAGCGGTCCTCTGGAAGGACTGCTTCCCGCCTGCTGCCTTCCTCTCGTGCTCCCAGAAGCATGTGTCACACGCACAGCCGCTGGGGCTTCATTAGAGAACAGTACAGCACCCCTGCATTACTCCAGGTGCACAGGAAGACAGCTCCCTCCCCCAGGAAGGCGCCACACTCAGGCAGAGAAGGCCCAGGGAATCTGGTGTTCTCCCTGTGGACTTCTCCTGTCTGTTTGGGAAATATAAACAGAACGCAATAAGCAAGAATAAATAAGGCACACGCAGCCTCCATGGAAGGCAGAACCCTGGTAAGAAAATGTGATCACTTTCTCTACCCAGGCACTCTCTATCCCCTGCACAAGCTTTAAGGGGGATTAAGCGAGACTGGCTGTGAATGCAGAGTGTTCCAACAAAGGCTGGAGTCCATCACAAGTGGCCCAGCTCATGAGAGGGAGAAGGGTGCCCTGTGGCTAACATCATAGGGCAGCAAGCGGTGACGAGGTCACTGCAGCCCCGGGGGGTAAGCGCTCCTGGGGGAGAAAGAGGACTGCTCCTTAACTGAATCGGTGTCAGTAGCCTGGCTCTGCCCATCCTCGTCACCCCGTCACCCTGTCACCCCTTCTTCCCTAGCTCCTCTGTCTTCCTTCAGACGAAGCCAAGGGCTATTGAGGAAGTTTTAAAATAGGTAATGGTTTTGGAAGGGGGAAGACAGGAGCTGGGAAATCTGTGCTGCTTTGAAAAAGTGCTCCCAGGGGCCAGGACTGGTATTCCGGGCTGTTCTGAGCTTACTGCTGACTTTGGGGGTGGCATGACACTCAGCAAAGCCCTCCTCTCAGAGGATGAGAACAGGCGAAGGTAAGGAAGCATTCCAAGGTATAGAACTTTTAGTCTTAGCAGCATTCTCCCAGGGCAGTCTACCCAGGCAATGGAAATGAGAGCAAAAAATTAACAAGTGGGACCTAATTAAACTTAAAAGCTTTTGCCCAGCAAAGGAAACCATAAGCAAAACAAAATGACAACCTACGGAATAGGAGAAAATATTTGCAAATGACATGACTGACAAAGGCTTAATTTCCAGAATATATAAACAGTTCACGCAACTTAATAACAAACAGCCCAATCCAAAAATTGGCAGAAGACCTAAATAAGCATTTCTCCAATGAAGACATACAAATGGCCAATAGGCACACAAAAAAATATTCAATATTGTTAATTATCAGAGAAATGTGAATCAAAACTACAGTGAGGTATCATCTCACACCAGTCAGAATGGCCATC